GTCTCCCTCTGTTGCCCAGGCTAGAGTGCAGTGGCGTGATCTTGGCTCACCGCAACCTCCATCTCTGGGGTTCTAGCGATTCTCCTGACTCAGCCTCCCCAGTAGCTGGGATTTCAGGCATCTGCTACCACGCCTGGCTAATTTTTTGTATTTTTGTAGAGATAGGTTTCATCATGCTGGCCAGGCTGGTCTTGAACTCCCCCTGACTTCAAGTGATCCACCCCACTGGGCCTCCCAAAGTGCTGGGATTACAGGCGTGAGCCACCGCACTGGCCTCAATATAATTCTCAAGTATGTTTTGGTATTTTTACTACAAATGAAAGCATTTGAAAACAAGATAGGTCATTGATTATGTGTTTTTAAACTTAACAAAAATTGGCTGGGCATGTTGGCTCACGCCTGTGATTCCAGCACTTTGGGAGGCTGAGGTGGGAGGATCACCTGAGGTCAGGAGTTCCAGATCAGCCTGGCCAAGATGGTGCAACCCCACCTCTACTAAAAAATACAAAAATTAGCCAGGTGCGGTGGCGGGCACCTGTAATCCCAGCTACTTGGGAGGCTGAGGCAGGAGAATCGCTTGAACCAGGATATAGAGGTTGCCGTGAGCAGAGACCGTGCCATTGCACTCCAGCCTGGGCAACAAGAACAAAACTCTGTCTAAAAAATAAAAATAAAAAATGTATGATATAGCATGTATTATTCTGTAAGTTGCTTTTTCACCCAGCTTGTCTAGAAGTCTGCCGTGTCAATTGTGCAGATGTGGTGTACTCACTTAAACTGCTACACTTCACAACAGACAACAGGCTTCACTGAAGCTGTTCGGTTCTTCTTCCAGAGAAATATAAACACCTGAGGGAAACAAGTCTTTCCATCACCCTGGGAACATGTGCAGTTTCTCTAACAGGCACCGGAAGGCGGATCCCACACTGGAGTACTCCGACCTCTAGCTGCATGCGTAGCGCCAAATTCCCACTCGCCGGTGTCCTCAGACTTACTCTGATTGGTATCCAGGGCTATATTCACACATTTTCCTGGTTACCTGTGAAGATGAGGATCTTTTTTATGTGTTTACCGGCCACTTGAATTTCCTCTTCTGGAGCTGCTTATTAATAACCTCGTTTTTCTACGGGGTTGCTGTTCTTTTACCGTTTTTTGAGAAATTCTTTTGTGTATTCTAGAAATGAATATTTTGTCTGTTAAATCCTTTCTAACTATCTCTTTTCCTAGTTGCTACCCCAACATTTATATATTGGAGTCCTAATGCCAATGGATGGTATTTGGAGATGAGGTCTTTGGAAGGCATAATAATTTAGGGTTAGGGCCGGGCG